CTCAGACATTGCAACTCGAGCACGCTATATACATATTCATGCATGACTCAGAACTAACTTCCGTCAGCGCCCTTCAATTTTGGACGACGCTACGCAAAGTTACAAAACTCGTGTCCAGCGTAAGTTGACGTAACCAGCCGTGTCCAGCAACAATGAAACGCCGGTATGCGACCGCGGCCGGGGAACTAATATTCTCGAAACCGTGACGAAACCTATCGGACCGAATCGACTGCAAGTATGCAACCATCATACATAACTCACAGCTGCTCCGCCCATTCATCTATGGCGTGTAGATATAACTATTAAGGTTTGGTGTGAGTGGTGTTGTTTTTGCCAAATTAGTCCTCATTAAACTTTAATCATTGAATTAATTTTACATATGATTACATAAGATATGGTGATAGCCTCTCTTATGAGGGTTAGCATCCATTATAAATCAACTGGTCTCAATACCTTGAGTTTCGAGAGAGGTCCATTTATGTATTTTAATCACTTTCTTACAAACACCTGTCAAACGAAAGTTAATTTATGGGCTTAAGTTTGCACAGACAATGTAGTTAGAATCCTGATTTTAATCTTAAAATCTTACCATATAACGATCTTACCTATGGATTTGATTTTGATTTTGTTATTATATCTTTGAACCTTAAAATCCTGACAAATACTATTTATATGGGTTTTTATGATTTGAAGGTTCATGTGGCAAATCAGGCTGGTCGGGTCGTGTTTTTATTTTACGTAAAATCACGATTTTAACTCCGTTGTGCACATGTTGCCCATATCATATGCTTTTTAAGAAAACTATTAATATTGGGGTAGTTAATACCTGAACACGTGACCTTATGAGCAAACCAACTATGATATCATATATGCCATAAATCAACTGGTCCCAACAGCTCGATCGAATTGTTGAAAGAAGCTTGTGTATATATCTTAATCACTTCTTATGTGCATAGAAAGTAATGCAATAGAAGTAATGAAATTCTTAGATATGTCTAGGATCATATTGCACAAGGTCTTCTAATAATAGTTACTCATAACCAATCATCTAATGCTCAAACAAAGACACAATAGAAATTGATGGGTTGATTTCCTTATGTTTAGTGATTTTCGAGATATAACATAAATTAAAGCATACACGCAATTTATAAGAAATCTCATCCTAGATGATCATACATCTCAATCTCAATAATGATAACCATCTATGCATCTTCTATCATGTAACCCTCTCACTTACACTAAGGCGTTCCTAATCGAGCTTTCGCCGCATTAAAAAGGAACTATAACTAGTTAATGCATGATTTCGCTTCATGACATTAAACTAGTCAATCAAAAAATGAAATAAAGATAGCACATTAACTATTAAAGCCTCTATGAATCATAGTAACTGTTTCTAATATTGATGATCTTAGGTATCAAGCATTAAACTCATTACGCTTGGATGGTTGATAATTCCACTTCATACACGCATAAGGCAATGACACCTCACATAAGAGTAGTTTCATGAAAACATAGCATGATATTAGAAGATACTATAATGGCACGTATATAGTAGATGGTATAGGCATCCAATGGTTAGGGCATTAAACAACTAAGGCATTCGAATAACATAAGGATCACATGACTAAAGCATCTAATAATATAGGCATCAAATGATATGGATAAATAATGACCAAAGCATCTCATTAAATCATAGAAAGAATATTCATAAATCATCAATAGAATTCGCATCCTGAACAACGAACTTGAACTAGTGGTACATAAGAGAGACTTATGGTACCACCATCGATGATGAAGGCATCTCTTTAGCTGCCCCCTCCTACTAATGCTATGATGAGGACATCAATACCAAGGCGATCACAAGTCCTACTCTGGTGCGAGAGGGAGATGTTCAAGCTCTTCAAGGTCGAGATTCGATCACTAAAAGTCGAGCCAAGGCATTTAAGAGTCAACTTAAATCTTATTTAGCCAAGAACTTCACAAATATGGAGGTCGAGTTGTTCATGGGTTGCGATTTAGTCTTAATTAGTGTTGAACTAGAATTGGTTGAATCCCTGGACGTGGAGGCAGAGAACCCCGATTGTGGAATGGCGACCAAGGGAGGGGATCTTGTCCAGAACAACCCCCGGGTGTGAAGACCAAAACCCCGACCGAGTGGGAATCAGGAGCTTTAGCGGATCTGTTTTTCCTTTCCTTTTCAGATTAGGTTTCTTGAGACTTAAAAATCGATTTTTTCTTGTTATTTTGGGCCAAAACTTATGTAGCCCATATAAGAGGCCGAACTAATTCTTTTGGAGGTTAATCAACAATTTTGTTCATAACAGAAATCCTAGAAATTGAGTGTTGAAACACCAACTTTTTTTCTTCTTCTTTCTTGATAGTGGAATCGATTCAGCAAGAAGGAACCTGACGTTTTCTACTAGCAAATCATCCTAGCCGAATTGTCATTTGTATACCTAACCCTCTTCCCAATGTGTAGAATATGTTTTGGTTATTCTCCGTTTGTATTCGTTATGCATATATCTTACTTATATAGAGTTCGCTTGCTCCATCAGAAGAACTCTACATTTTTTGACCATCAATTACTAGTCATTGAACAATATAATTTGAGGTTCATCCGCTGCATCTAATCAGATTCCGCCTTCAAATGGCACAAACTGGCCGTCTCATTAAGGAACCAGCGAGAACATGCATGTGAGAGAGCCGGGCCGTTAGATAATTGATTTCACATATGCAACCGTGTTTTGGGATATGATGATGGAAATGGTGGCAAACATAATAGGAAAGTAAATGAATGTTAAAAGAGTTAATGATTTAAAAAAGTTATGGAATCATTAAACAAAATTTTCTATCTTAAAATTGAAAATAAATATATTAATATTATATTTTCTTAAAAGAGTTAATGATTTAAAAAAGTTATGGAATCATTAAACAAAATTTTCTTCATTTCCGGTGGAGTCTCGTTGGAGAAACCAAGCGGCGAACGAAAGAATAGGGATTTCAGTTTTTTCTTTTCAATTTTATAATTATAATTTAAGTATTTTATTTCATTATAATTTTATAATAATTCAACAAAAATATAAAGAAAAAATATATAGGCTGACGTGTGCATATATTTGTCACGTCAGAGTCAACTAATTGTTGACCGGATGAAAAGTTAACGGTTTGATAATTAAATTGTTTTCGAAAAGGTTTGGCTATTATTTTGTTTAAAATGAAAGGTTTGGATATTAAATTTTATTTACCCTAATTTTTATAAAAATTAACAGTAAAAAATTTATAAAGTAGGAAGGCACGTTTTATAAATTAATATAGTGGAGTGACATATCTGATAAAGATCTGAACGGCTAAATGCCACCTTAAAATTGCAGAATTGCTCTGGATTAAAATTGAAAATGACGAAATTGCCTTTTGTATATTTGTTAAACCCTACCCAAATATCTTCACTTTCCAGGCTTCCCCTCTTTGCCGCAACTGTTCGCCGGAGAGGGTCCACCTTGCCAGAGCTTCCTTGCATTTCTAGTCCTCCTCGCATACTCCTTTAATTGCACCTACCTTGCCGGAGTAGAGCAACCCAGTTCACATGCATTTCATCACAGCCGACCAGACAAGTAAAATAATCAAACCCAGGAAACAAGAGCAATCAGCCAACCCACCGGAAAATCAGTCAATCAAAATTCTGGCTAAGATCGTTGTGCTGTTGTTCGCCATTTTTGTAGTAGTCCAGTTCGTTTTTTTTTTTTAATAGAAGGAGAACAAAACAAATGCTGCAATAATTAATCAAAAGGAACATAATAGGAATCATTGGCATGGAACATCATTAACCTAATTCTGAAACCCAGATTTGGTCTAGTGGAGGCATAACAAATCTCAACTTCCATCCACCAGGGGCGCACCAAACCTTGCTTCGACTCAACGAGGGCGTTTGTTGGCGAGACGGCACTACGTGACAAGACCAGTGGGGAATAGGGGCAGGGCGTGCGTTTCGGTGGAGGATGGAGTGTATTTATTTTTTATAAATTAATGGTGTAAATATAAATAATAAAGAGGATAAAAACGTAATTAATAGATTAAAATTAGGGCGATAATAGTAAAACTAGGGCGATGAATAGCAATCCCCAATAAAATACAAAGGGACTGTCGCAACCGCACCTCGAAATCGGGATCGCTTGCGAATTTGCTCGGAGTCGCCATCGACCTTAAATGTAGTGGGTCACACACTATTTGGTCCGATCTCGACCTTAGGATCGAAACCGGGACTTGGTCTGCGGAATTGTACAGATTTGGGTTCGGAAGTACGGTTACGTGTGGGGAAGTGTATTCACACCCCACAACGCCCCAAAATCGGTACTACTTAAATCGATAAGTTTTTAAATGTTAGGTGTATTATTATTTGCGGCTTATTTCGTATTAAATTATAAGATTCAAATAATTAGTTATTTATTTTTACGATTCGATCATACGTCTATTGACGCAAAATCTCATAAGTAAGAAAGTGAATAAAGTATTTTTGATTGTTTTAGTTATAACTTTTACCACATTCCACTAAAAGTAATCCTCGTATTATATTTTTTGTTAATAAATTTAATTTGATTATTATGATGTTACGACAATAAATGCAAGGATTTTAGTTATTAGGAAGTATTTTGATGTATTAGAAAAGAAACAAGATAAACTTAATCCGCATTCAACATTTCGTATTAGGGATTTTAAAAACAAATAAAGTTAAATGGGATGATTAAATTTATGAATGATGGGTCAGCAGCCCAACTGGTTAAAGCGTCAGACACATCCGCCCGAGGACCCGAGTTCGAATCTCGGTGGACAAAGTTGGTATTTTTCGTTTTTTATGCAAAGATGGGGGAGGACATTTTGGTAAATGGCCAAAAACGCGGTGGCATGGACGACAATTTCTACGAAACCCTAGGGGTAAAATCGACATTTACAGATGAGTATAAAATCATCTCCTGAGACACAAAAAAAACCCTAATCGTATTCTAAGGCCAACGGCGGCCGCCCTCTTCCTCTCTCTCTGTTCTCTCGATTCTTCCACTTCTCTCTTCCTCTTCCAGAAACAAATCAAACCTAGCGCCACCCTCATCTTCTTCTCCCTCGTCTCTCACCTCTCTCCCTTACAGAAGCAAACCAAAACCCCCAGGAGATCTAGAGGCGGCCGCTTCTCACTCCCTCTCTCCCTCTCTCTCGGTTTCTTTCTAGAGAACGACCCTCAGAGAAGAGAGGCGCCGCCCTCTCCAACTCTCTCCTTCTCGTTTCTTCTACTTCATCCCAGAATCAAAATAAAGGCGATCTACGACCGCGGCAAGACGACGACAAGAAAGGCGACCTGAATCAACTTCAATCGACTGGAGGCATGTCGATCCAGGTGGGGATTTCGCATGCATGGTGTTGTTTATTTATTTTTTCTGATTTTTATTTGGATTCTACTAATTTTCTGGGTTTTGGTTTTGCATGTCGATTTGGGTTTTCTGGGGGTCGCCTGATTTGCCACGATCGAGGGGAGAAAGAGGAGACGTTTGGCTGCTTGGATCCCCGGCGTCAAAGCTCAGTCGACGGTGATTGACGGTGGCAGGTGAGTTTTCTTGTGTCGGTAATTTTTATTTTTGGTTTATTAACTCTTTAATCGACTCTGACCTCTATTTATGTTTTGAAGCAGGTCTTAAGACGATTTGATTAGGTGAGGTTCCCTAAATTTGGTTGGTGATTTTTTTTTTTTAATCCGGAATAGATGCATAGATCCGAATTTTCAGAAATATGTATGTGGGAAGACGATTTTGGATATGGAACATTTGGGTTAATATGGCTTTAAATTTGGAAATTTGCGGTTTAATTGTAGATCTAGAATGGATTTATCGATCGTGATTTCTGGAAAATGGTTGTGTTTGTGTGTGGTATGGTTTGCTTGTGGATTTGGCGGCTTTGAGGGCTTGGAGGGTTGGGGATGGTGTGGTGATTTTGTTCTTTATTCCATACGCATGATCATCATATTTTTATCTATGTAATGAAAATACGAGATAACTAAAAGAATGGTAAATGAGGGAAAGTAAATAGCATAGTAAGTAACAATAACTGATTAAGTGTAATAGTAAACTAAGTAGAAAGCTAGCTGTTGAAGGTAATATAATTAATGAAGTAACTGTGCTTGAAATAAATAAATACTGGAACTGAAAGTAAAATAAAGCTGAATTACATGGACAAGTTAGTAGAGTAAATCTGGGTGTTGATTAGTTTTCAATCACTCTTATGTAGAAATCGTGACATTTAGATGATGATGATTATGGATGATAGTAACAGTGGTAATAACAATAATATAGAGTTAGTTTGACAAAAAGGGGCGAGTAGGAGAAGAGAATAAAAGAGTAGTAAAGGAATGATGCATCACTAGAACTGGAATATGAACCTGGGTTCTGCTGATTACAGTACAGACTTGTTGGGCTTCTGTTTGCCTACTTCTATTTGACAGAATAAAGAAGGAAAGAAAAAGTGTGTGTTTGTGTTTTTTTCCTATTTTTCCAGCGTTTTTCCTCTTCTCTGAACAGACTAAGAAAAGAAAGAAACTCTCAAATCACTAAGAGGAAGAAACAAAAACTGACAAAGGAAGAAGTAAAGTGTTTCCCCTTCTGAAAAGCTGCCCCTTCTCCTTGGAATTGGGCCTCCTTTTATAGAAAAAATGAGGCGGTGGTGTCTGGGTTTGGCCAGATCAATTCTGGTTCGACCGGTCGGTTGGATTTGGTCGTTCTTGAGCTGGCCGGGTCGTTTCTAACCATGTGGGCTTGCCTTGGAATTAGGCCTTGACCGAGCCTTGACTGATCCTTGTGGGCTGGCTCTGCTTTTGGTTGGCTCACATGTGGGCTCTAGTCTTGTAACATGTGCTTGGACTTGGACTTTAGGCTTGATATTGACTTGAACCGACCCTGTTTTTCTTTGTTGCAGGTCCATGGCTGGCTTCAAAAGAGATGGAAGAAACATGTATTGATTGTAATTTCAATGTAGTATTTCTTATTTGTAATTTGTATTATGTTTGTAATTGTAATTAAGTAATAATTTTAATAATAAGTTCTTCTTTATTATTATTATATTTGTGTTGGGCCAAAAGCCGACATTGGAAGCCAATAGATCTTATTAGATCCACCGGAATCGAATTCGAATAAACTGTACAATCGTTGATATTTTAGATTCGTAATGGCTGATCTATCTTACGATATTTCACGGTTTAAGTTGGAATTTTTGGTTGGATAATTTACCCGGACAAAATGAGGTGTCTACAGTTGCCCCCCTTGTATATCTCTTTATATAAAGAGTTATACAAAGTTCTCGTATAGACACCACATTTTCTCAGTTCAGTGGGGGATTATATTTTGTTGCTGACTTATTTTTCGACATTCGTCATCGCCAATTGTTACATTTTTCTCGATGATGTCGTAAATGAAACGCACGTCAACGCTAATTGTTTTTTTTTTATGATGACGTAAACGAAGCGCACGCCAGCGCTAACTGTTGAACTCTTCTGAAAATGACGTAAACGAAGCGCACGTCCGCGCTAATTGTTGGGGGTTTCCTGATGATGACGTAAACGAAGCGCACGTCAGCGCTAATTGTTGAGTTTTCCTGATGATGACGTAAACGAAGCGCACGTCAGCGCTAATTGTTGAATTTTTTATGATTAATTGTTTTATGCTTATTAGCATTAGTGTCGTATTTTTTTGACACTCGCTAGCACCAATTTAATGTGTTTATTGTTTTGCTGAGAGCATGTCTAAAATTTAATAAAGACGAGTTCTAATTGTAAGTGAAAAGCTAATGTCAGATTTTTATGAAGTTGGAAACATAATTGTTGTATTTGAAATCCTGAAGAATGTCAAAAATGTGTTTGGAAATGAATATTAATGAGTATAATTGTTGATTGATGATGTTTTCTAATGGGTATCAAAATGATTTTGAAAATGATTGTGTGATGAGTCATGCTAATGAATGATAAAATCGTGAATATTGTAAGAAAATAAATGATGTAATGCATTATCAATTGGTTTGAGAATATGTTTTTTTTCTTTTGCTCTGGGCTCCTTTAAATTGATCACCCACGAGAACTTGTGTCATTGTTTCTTGTAGCTTTGATCCTCAGTTGTGCTCAATAGTGCGAGCTCTTAATTAGACCACCTTCGGGCTCCTTGTTGTCCAAGACAGGGTTCTTCGATTTCATTAATGTAGTGTAGCATGCCCCTTCTGTCACGGACGGCAACTGATTGGTTGAAAGCAGTCAAAGGTGCTCTCAAGATCTTTGAGATTTTTAAACTGATGAGTTGACAAGTTGGGTACTTTCGTTCGCGAGCATTTCAGAATGCTTCCCCGTCGAGGTTACACTGTTCTTGCCCCCAAAGATCTGGCGTTCACTTTCTATTCTATGGAATAAAGGGTGACTTTATCAACCTTAACTGAAGATTAGTGCAAAAATGTATGACAAATGTGATTGGAAAAGTATCATGGGAACTTGTTGACATTTGAGAAAAGTGTGTAAGAATTGGATACAATTTTGTATGGTAATTTCATGTGGCTAAAATATTTTGGAATTTTTCAATGAGAAGGGAGAAAGTAAAGCCATGAGAAAATCCAAAAGCACTCACTCTACTCTCATTTTCGACGCCATGCTCGGATTCACTCTCACTCATTCCTAAGGGTGCTTTGAGCATATGACATTTCAGCTACCATTAAAATTCAGGTCACTATGAGAGGCCTTCTTTTATGTTGATGGTTAAATATGTTCGGGGTAATGGCTTTTTCAAATGAGGAAATTCTTATGAAGTCTAATTTTGGTATTGTGAAGTTTCTTGTAAGGGATGTTGGCTTGCCCCCGAGGTATTAGGTTAAATGATGGCTTAGAGTGATCCTAATGGCAATTATCATGGTTTTCTCGAGCCTTTCTTTCTCAAAAATAGTGGTGGCTTTTGGACATCTTGGGGAATGCGTCTTACGTTGCCCCCTTGTCTTGAGATTTTATGAGGTGGGGTCAGGTGGTGAATAAATGAGGTCTTTGTGAATGTGAACTTGGCTATGGGAAGTCTCGTCTCATAGGTTTTTTGCTTAAGGTTTTCTGTAGGTATTAGCCGGCAAATAATTTGATTTGCCGTGAATGGTTGACTTCAAATGCTAATGAAGGGGCCTTTAACATGTAAGTCCTACAACAATTTTTCTTTGCTTTGTTTTTTTTTTTTTTTTTGTCTGTCGTGGGACTTACTTAACTTGGTTGTGGCACAGAATATGCTTCCCTTATTCTCACCTCTGACATTTGTATAACTAGACAGAAGCAGCAAAAGATTAGTACTTCACAATGTAAGTGTATTTTCTCGTTGGATTGGCTGGTTGGTTACTCCTCTCTCGAAGAAGCAAAACTTCTAATGCCATTGGGCTTATTTGAATTTCTTTCCTTGATTAGCTTCATATGTATTTGGATCCCAATTCACTAGCAAACGTTGGCAATGATGGTGACGAGATTCTACAAGTAGCCTGATGTCATACGCTCGTTACACCTTTTGACTATTCACTCACACAATTTGTGTACACCCAATGGGGTGTTTACACTCTTAATTCTGGCGCAGTGTGCACACACTCAGCATAATGGGGTGTTTATAATCGCTCAACACTAGTGGGGTGCTCAAATTTGATGGCAATCTCATGGCTTAACTTGGAAATAAAACTAGTTTGGATGGTTTCCATCAAATTTAAAGAAATTGGGAATAACAAACTTCTATATTAAGATTGATAACAGTCACAAAACATTCCAAAGAAGTCTAAAGGTGGAAATCTTATTATTTAAATGATGAAAGCAAAGGCGATACATCTATTGTTAAGGAAATTAGCTCGATAAGTTTATTTACGTAATAGGACCAACATTATCCTTGAATCGAGCATTGCTTTGTAGTACGCCTGCTACTTCCCATGAGCCGGCAGTGGATTATTGTTTATGTTTGGGCGCTTTGACTCCTCTTCAAATTTCAACCAACCGGCATTGATCATCTGTTGCACCTTTATCTTCAATGTCCTGCAAGCTTCGGTCGAGTGCCCAGGGACTCCAGAATGATAAGTGCAATGTTCTCCTGGCTTGTACCATGGTGGAAATGGAGGTTGCATAGGCTCAGATGGAACCGGGGAAATTAGATGACTTTGGAGCAGTTGTGGGAAAAGTTCAGTGTACGTAATAGGAATAGGATCAATTTGGATGGTGTTTTTGTATCTCCCAGAATTGTTCTGGTCTTGGTTATTTGGTGGTGGCGCCACTGGTGATTGAGTAGGAAAATTCGGACGTTGAGTAATCAATGCGGTATTTGAAACATAGGGATTAGCTTGATTGTCTTGAGGTTGGTGATTCCACCTTCCTCTTCTGGATGAGTCTTCTTGACCAGAATGAATCTCTCCATCTCCCCTTCGAGTTTGGTATGGTTTCTTTGAGGCTTCCGGACTTTCCATCCGGCCTTGCTTCAATCCTTTTCAATTCGCTCTCCAATTACTAGCAAGTCCGCAAAGTTGGTTGTGGTAATTTCCACCATGTTGTTGTAATACGGAACCCTCAATGTTCCGAAGAAGATTGACACCATTTCCTTTTCTGACAGCGGGGGTTGAACTTCTGCCGCCTTCTCCCTCCATCTATGAGCATACTCTCTGAATGATTCTTTCTTGTTCTTTTCCATATTACGTAGATCCTCCCGATCTGGGGCCAAATCCTGGTTATGCTTGTAATGCCTCATGAATGCATCGGCTAGGTCTTGCCACCTTTTCACTTTCGTTTTCTCTAATTGCATATACCATCTCAGCGCGGAGCTGCTCAAGCTATTTTGGAAGCAATGTATCATCAACCTTTCATCACGAATATAGTTAGCCATTTTATTACAAAACATGACTAGATGGCTTCTTGGGCAAGTAGTGCCATTGTATCTTTCAAATTCAGGCATTTGAAATTTATGAGGAATTATGACATCTGGGACTAAACATAGTTACGATGCATCCATAGGCTCATAGGATTCAAATCCTTCTATGCTTCTTATTCGTTCATTCATGTGTTCCAATTTTTCTTTCAGCATAGCATCAACCCCATGTTCCTCCTGCTTCTCAGTCTCTTCTAATTTGTCATGCTTCGGTTGCCCTATGCCATCTTCATCACATGTGTTCTTCGAAGGTATGAGAATAAATTTACTACCCGAGGCATCTCCTTTAGGTTTTTCATAGTGATCTTCTTCGTCGAATATGGCTTCTTCTTCGTTGGTTGCAACCCCCTTGCCTTTTCCTGACAGTATGCTCAAAATTGTGCTGAGTTGACCTTTCATCTCATCAAAACCCGCCAGTTTTTCATCGAAACCCGTCAGTTTCTCATCAAACCCTATTAGCTTCCCATTGATGTCTTTTATCTCTTTCTGAAATGCCTCCATGAAGATCTTGAGTTTTGATCTAGTGAAGTGCTTAGAAGGCTGACTTTTTCCTGGTAGGCGAGCAATTTTAAGGAACCCTGACAAATTTATTGTTTGTTAAACGGTTTTGTATATACGATGCTTATGATGCTAAATGATGTGAATGTGTACATGCAAAGATGACTTTAATGGATGCATGTGCTTTATCTTTTATGATTTTGAATAGGATGAATGCTAATGTCATGAATTTTGAAAAGCTTTTATGTGCATAATAAAATCACATTATTTATGAGTAATTGATAATGCATAAATTATCACATCGTAGGCAAAAATATTTCTAAATAAACCAAAAAAAATCTCTAATTAAATAAACATAAGATTTGTAAGGTTAGACGACAAGGTTTATACGAGATGGTGTTGGGCAGCTGGTAAGCTTACTAAATGGTTGGTAAGGTCGTAAGGATATCTAGGAAATTACCCAAGTTGTATCCTACTATTGCTCTTTCAAGCTTAGCTGGATACCTCAAATCAACCTCGGATTTGAGTTCAACTTGGTTAGAAAGTTTCGCGTTATTCCTCTACTATTGTAGAGGTAACGTTACTCCGTTCCCTTAGAGGTAGAGCTCGGGTATAGAGCTTTGATGTATGAATGTAAATGATTATATACGAGTTAAATTAAATGCACAAACAATATAATAAACACCCAACACGTTAAAGATGGTAAGCGAAGCTTATCGATTTAATATTGTAGATCGACTCTCAAAGTCCCCAGCGGAGTCGCCACTGTCGCAACCGCACCTCGAAATCGGGATCGCTTGCGAATTTGCTCGGAGTCGCCATCGACCTTAAATGTAGTGGGTCGCACACTATTTGGTCCGGTCTCGACCTTAGGATCGAAACCGGGACTTGGTCTGCGGAATTGTACAGATTTGGGTTCGGAAGTACGGTTACGTGTGGGGAAGTGTATTCACACCCCACAACGCCCCAAAATCGGTACTACTTAAATCGATAAGTTTTTAAATGTTAGGTGTATTATTATTTGCGGCTTATTTCGTATTAAATTATAAGATTCAAATAATTAGGTATTTATTTTTACGATTCGATCATACGTCTATTGACGCAAAATCTCATAAGTAAGAAAGTGAATAAGTATTTTTGATTGTTTTAGTTATAACTTTTACCACATTCCACTAAAATTAATCCTCGTATTATATTTTTTGTTAATAAATTTAATTTGATTATTATGATGTTACGACAATAAATGCAAGGATTTTAGTTATTAGGAAGTATTTTGAGGTATTAGAAAAGAAACAAGATAAACTTAATCCGCATTCAACATTTCGTATTAGGGATTTTAAAAACAAATAAACTTAAATGGGATGATTAAATTTATGAATGATGGGTCAGCAGCCCAACTGGTTAAAGCGTCAGACACATCTGCCCGAGGACCCGAGTTCGAATCTCGGTGGACAAAGTTGGTATTTTTCGTTTTTTATGCAAAGATGGGGGAGGACATTTTGGTAAATGGCCAAAAACGCGGTGGCATGGACGACAATTTCTACGAAACCCTAGGGGTAAAATCGACATTTACAGATGAGTATAAAATCATCTCCTGAGACACACAAAAAAACCCTAATCGTATTCTAAGGCCAACGGCGGCCGCCCTCTTCCTCTCTCTCTGTTCTCTCGATTCTTCCACTTCTCTCTTCCTCTTCCAGAAACAAATCAAACCTAGCGCCACCCTCATCTTCTTCTCCCTCGTCTCTCACCTCTCTCCCTTACAGAAGCAAACCAAAACCCCCAGCAGATCTAGAGGCGGCCGCTTCTCACTCCCTCTCTCCCTCTCTCTCGGTTTCTTTCTAGAGAACGACCCTCAGAGAAGAGAGGCGCCGCCCTCTCCAACTCTCTCCTTCTCGTTTCTTCTACTTCATCCCAGAATCAAAATAAAGGCGATCTACGACCGCGGCATGACGACGACAAGAAAGGCGACCTGAATCAACTTCAATCGACTGGAGGCATGTCGATCCAGGTGGGGATTTCGCATGCATGGTGTTGTTTATTTATTTTTTCTGATTTTTATTTGGATTCTACTAATTTTCTGGGTTTTGGTTTTGCATGTCGATTTGGGTTTTCTGGGGGTCGCCTGATTTGCCACGATCGAGGGGAGAAAGAGGAGACGTTTGGCTGCTTGGATCCCCGGCGTCAAAGCTCAGTCGACGGTGATTGACGGTGGCAGGTGAGTTTTCTTGTGTCGGTAATTTTTATTTTTGGTTTATTAACTCTTTAATCGACTCTGACCTCTATTTATGTTTTGAAGCAGGTCTTAAGACGATTTGATTAGGTGAGGTTCCCTAAATTTGGTTGGTGATTATTTTTTATTTTTTTTTGAATCTGGAATAGATGCATAGATCCGAATTTTCAGAAATATGTCTGTGGGAAGACGATTTTGGATATGGTACATTTGGGTTAATATGGCTTTAAATTTGGAAATTTGCGGTTTAATTGTAGATCTAAAATGGATTTATCGATCGTGATTTCTGGAAAATGGTTGTGTTTGTGTGTGGTATGGTTTGCTTGTGGATTTGGCGGCTTTGAGGCCTTGGAGGGTTGGGGATGGTGTGGTGATTTTGTTCTTTATTCCATACGCATGATCATCATATTTTTATCTATGTAATGAAAATACGAGATAACTAAAAGAATGGTAAATGAGGGAAAGTAAATAGCATAGTAAGTAACAATAACTGATTAAGTGTAATAGTAAACTAAGTAGAAAGCTAGCTGTTGAAGGTAATATAATTAATGAAGTAACTGTGCTTGAAATAAATAAATACTGGAACTGAAAGTAAAATAAAGCTGAATTACATGGACAAGTTAGTAGAGTAAATCTGGGTGTTTGATTAGTTTTCAATCACTCTTATGTAGAAATCGTGACATTTAGATGATGATGATTATGGATGATAGTAACAGTGGTAATAACAATAATATAGAGTTAGTTTGACAAAAAGGGGCGAGTAGGAGAAGAGAATAAAAGAGTAGTAAAGGAATGATGCATCACTAGAACTGGAATATGAACCTGGGTTCTGCTGATTACAGTACAGACTTGTTGGGCTTCTGTTTGCCTACTACTTCTATTTGACAAAATAAAGAAGGAAAGAAAAAGTGTGTGTTTGTGTTTTTTTCCTATTTTTCCAGCGTTTTTCCTCTTCTCTGAACAGACTAAGAAAAGAAAGAAACTCTCAAATCACTAAGAGGAAGAAACAAAAACTGACAAAGGAAGAAGTAAAGTGTTTCCCCTTCTGAAAAGCTGCCCCTTCTCCTTGGGAATTGGGCCTCCTTTTATAGAAAAAATGAGGCGGTGGTGTCTGGGTTTGGCCAGATCAATTCTGGTTCGACCGGTCTGTTGGATTTGGTCGTTCTTGAGCTGGCCGGGTCGTTTCTAACCATGTGGGCTTGCCTTGGAATTAGGCCTTGACCGAGCCTTGACTGATCCTTGTGGGCTAGCTCTGCTTTTGGTTGGCTCACATGTGGGGTCTAATCTTGTAGCATGTGCTTGGACTTGGACTTTAGGCTTGATATGGACTTGAACCGACCCTGTTTTTCTTTGTTGCAGGTCCATGGCTGGCTTCAAAAGAGATGGAAGAAACATGTATTGATTGTAATTTTCATGTAGTATTTCTTATTTGTAATTTGTATTATGTTTGTAATTGTAATTAAGTAATAATTTTAATAATAAGTTCTTCTTTATTATTATTATATTTGTGTTGGGCCAAAAGCCGAGATTGGAAGCCAATAGATCTTATTAGATCCACCGGAATCGAATTCGAATAAACTGTACAATCGTTGATATTTTAGATTCGTAATGGCTGATCTATCTTACGATATTTCACGGTTTAAGTTGGAATTTTTGGTTGGATAATTTACCCGGACAAAATGAGGTGTCTACAGGGACCTCCTACCATGATTTGAAGTTACTATAACTTGACATTTTTGACCTGCTATAGCATGTTTTATAGGTCGCATTACGTAAACCTAATGTTTATTACGTAACAATTACGTAATGCAAGTTAGTCTTACGTAACAGTTAAACTAGAAGCATTACGGAAGGTTTCCGTAACGCCTTATCATTTTACGTAACGCTAGGTAAATATTCATTACGTAAAAGCATTGTCTATTACGTAAGACTTCCGTAATGACATTTTACAACTGTTACATAAAATACACACTCATTACGTAAAGATTACGTAACGAAGGTTATTTTTTACGTAACAGTTAAATTAGAAGTGTTACGTAAGACTTCCGTTATGACTTACCACATTACGAAACTTGATTAATATTCATTGCATAAAAGGACCATACATTATGTAAGGCTTCCGTAATGACACTTTACAACTGTTACATAAAGTATGCATCTATTACGTAAAAGTTACGTAACGATAGTTATTTCTTACGTAACAGTTAAATTAGAAGTGTTACATAAGTCTTTCGTAATGATTTAACAGATTACGTAACGAAAGGTTAATATTCATTACCTAAAATGAGTGTCTATTACATAAGGTTTCCGTAATGACATTTTTCAACTATTACGTAAGATAAACACACATTACGTAACCATTACGTAATGTCTATGGTATTTTATGTAATGCAACTTGTAAAACCTGTTATAACAGGTAAAAACATCAAGTTACAATAACATAAAGGTATTGTAGGAATTTCCAAATACATAATAAATGGTCTTATTATACCTACTCTTAATTGTATTACCAAATTAAGAGTGGAAAATATTATAGACGTCAACTACTGCAGAAAATCTAAAACAACAAATATGGTCCATATTGTAGAAAAAGAGATTAATGTATGAGATTGCTGTAAACGGTAGTCATTCTGGTTCAGATCTTACAGCTCATTCTAGAAAATGTTTTTTAATGGCACTAATTGAGGTATATATACATATTCCTCAATCTTTTGCTTCTATACATCTACCAAATGTTCATAACCGCGAAGTAACTTCATTGCTTACATTGAATCCTGTCATAAAAGTAAAATCAAACAAAATGGTACGAATACAATTAAAAAAAAAAAAAAGAGAGAGAGAAAATAATAGAGTGCACAAAATTTAGTCGTGGGACGTACGTGGAAGCCGTCCAGTCCTAGGACGGAAGGAAACATAAATAGCAGCGGTGCCGCTATTTGACAATTTCTGTTACGTTGTTGCCGTTCTACATTACGCCCCACGCCACACACCACATAAAAGCCCTCTCCCTCTCTCTGCTACCTCCCATCTCCTTTGTTCATTGATTTTGCTCTCGCCCCAAGCTTTGCGGGAAATCTCAACCCTCTCTGAGGTTGTTTCGGTTACTGCCACTTGGACATATCTATAATAAGGAGATGGCCTGTTTGGTTGGCCGTCGACGGCGGCTGCTCCTGCTTCGGGCCTCTATTTTGGCTGTTTTTCTCGCCGGATTCGCCTTCCCCTCGGTCTCAGCCGTCTCGTACAGAAGGCCGCGCCGCCGCCCCGACCTACACGTCGCTCGACGGTTGGACGAAAACGATTCCACTCCTCAGCAGGTAATTATTTCCCAATATTCCGTATCAAATTATACAAGGAAGCTGATTTGTGGTGGTTGCTTTTGCCATTTCTGGTGTTTGCTTGAATCAATCCTGCACTTAACTTCTAATCTGGGTTAAATCTAAAAACCGATAGGTATTCTCATCTAGTTAATCCAAGGTAACTAATCTTCTAGCTAATTATATAAATATTAATGCTTGGCTAGATTTAGCCAAGTGCCTGTAGTGTTGGGGAGGAATGAATTAGTTCCACCAAAAGCAAGAAATGAGAAATCCAAACATGTACAAGTCTTGTGATAGATTGATGAACTTACGTTGCTACTGGCCGGGTACAAGTACGATGGTTAGGTGTGCAGACAATGAGAAGGGGACTTTTTTTGTAGCTTTTTAATGCAGCTACCGATGAGGACAAGTCAGTTTAGTTGGCAGGAACTGGGGAGGGAGGGGAAGGGTTCTTTCACGTTTTATGTCTACCCAATCTGTTGCTTCTTTTTCTCATCATGCATGCTCGGTTATTATTAATTTGTTGCTTACTTATCAGGAGAAAGAAATCGTGGAATTAATATATATATGGATTATTCCTGGGGGTGGTGCAACGCTCATGCTCTTTCTTTATGACAAAAACATAATATAAGCTTAGCTTTCATGTTATTGAAGTGGAACCGGCTCTATTTGTAATAACCCTGAAATCTTTTTTTTTATAAGATATTATCTGTTTTGGATCTAGACTTTTACGAATTTTGTTTTGGAGTGCATATCAAGGTAACTTCTCATAAGGTCATTCACCTTATAGTGCTCCATGCTGAGCAATTTTTAATTTTGAAGCTCTCACAAAAACTCCTCCATTTCACCCCAAAATGCATTTTTTGTCGGTTTCTTACTTATGAACCATGGATCTCCCTCGTACTTTGTCGATGTGGATTCGTCGAAGGTGTTACATTACTGCCTTCTCTATTAGACTAATACGTTGATGATAATTCCTATAGTTTAACGGTCTAGATCGATAGTCAACAAGCGCCATTTATAGTTAATGATAATTCCTATAGATTAATTCAACTTATTTTGATTTTGTTCGAAAAGGGTATTATTCATCTTAAGATTATCATTATATATTATGACTTTTTAATTTTTATGAATGTTTTGTTTCTTCAAGTCATCAACTTCTCCGGATGCAACGTAGCAATTAAAATCATTGAGTCAACAATTCAAGTGTTATTTTTTATTTATGTTTTTATTTAAAAAGTGGTTTGTTTCCTTTCCCCCGCCTCATAGCGGAATAAAAAAAATGTGGAAGAAAACGCCTGGATGGCCACTGTTCGGGCCCTGGACATTATAAAGCCCAATTAAACTGGGCTTAGGATCCAGGGATAAAATTCCAGATTCCATGTTAACGTCCATCACTCATATGTTCTTTTATTTGAATGTGCGATAGGTCCATATATCAATGGTGGGCTCAGATAAAATGAGGATATCCTGGATAACGGACGACCCAACCCCGGCGACTGTGGAATACGGCACTGCTTCCGGTAATTACGCCAACTCCTCCACCGGAACCACCTCTTCCTACCGTTACATGCTCTACAACTCCGGCCAAATTCACGACGTCGTCATCGGCCCGCTCCAGCCCAACACGGTTTATTACTACCGCTGCGGCGGAAACGCCGGCCGCCAGTTCAGTTTCAAGACTGCTCCACCTGCTTTCCCGATCAAATTCGCCATTGTTGGTAACGCACTATACACATACACATACAATCACGTCAATTGGTCACATACAAAATATGTGCACCGTCCTTGGAACATTGTTAGCAAATCACATGTAACGTTCTAACAAATTGTGAAATTGCTGATTATAGGGGATCTTGGTCAGACCGAACACACGAACTCGACACTGCAACACATCTCTCAATCAAGTTACGACATGTTGCTGCTCCCCGGCGACTTGTCGTACGCCGATTTCTGGCAGCCGCGGTGGGACTCGTTCGGCCGGATGGTGGAGCCGCTTGCGAGCCAGAGGCCGTGGATGGTAACCCAAGGGAACCACGAGGTGGAGCGGATCCCGGTCGTCCACTCCAGTTCGTTCACAGCCTACAACGCACGGTGGCGGATGCCGTTCGAGGAGAGCGGATCCACGTCCAACCTCTATTACTCCTTCGATGTGGCGGGGGCCCACGTCGTCATGCTGGGCTCGTACACGGACTTTGGCCCATCTTCGGCCCAGTACAAGTGGCTGCAGTCGGATCTGGGCAAGGTGGACCGGAGTAAGACTCCGTGGATCCTGGCCCTGATCCACGCCCCTTGGTACAACACCAACACGGCCCATCAAGGAGAATCCGAGTCTGTGGACATGAAGCGAGACATGGAAAGCCTGCTCTATAATGCTCGTGTTGATGTCGTTTTCGCCGGCCATGTCCACGCCTACGAGCGCTTTGTAAGTCTTTCTTTCCTAACTCCCTTCCCTTGTGAAAAATAACATCAGTAACCTACTAAGCTTTTTTTGACATTTGACATTCTTGGGCCTGTAGGCTCGGGTTTACAGAGATAAGGCGGATGATTGTGGTCCGGTGCATATCACCATTGGGGATGGTGGCAACCGTGAAGGTCTTGCTACAAAGTAAGAAAACTAATTAACTTGTTTTCTCTCTCTCTCCCTCTCTCGAACACGTAGTAATTATTCATATGTGTTGTTTTGAAAGGTTTGAAGTTTGATTATGGTTTTGGTGTGACTATGGTTTTGCAGATTTAGGAACACAGGAGAGAAGATTTCAGTATTTAGGGAGGCGAGCTTCGGGCATGGGGAACTAGAGGTGGTGAATGCCACACACGCGCAGTGGACATGGCATAGAAATGATGATGGTGAAAGCGTTTGCAGTGATGCAGTTTGGCTTACAAGCCTTTCCTCTCTTACTAGTTGCAAAGCCTAGTCTCGTTGTTTGTTGATTTTATTTTCTGTTATCGTTAAGTTGAAGTCAAATATCTCATATTATATTTACTTATTTAGAGAATTGTAATGAGGTAATTAAATTCATAGTCATACAAATCAAGATTCTGTAGACTCCATGGAATGTGAAGTTAGGTGACTTTGGGTGGAAATATTTGGATTTGCCATTTGGAATTGAAAATCATAAATACAAAATCATTTGTAAGGATACTAACTAGATATGTTAATTGCATTTTCATCAAATATATGAGGTGAATTTCAAAGGCTCAAACCCATGCTCATGCCTCGAAGTGAGACAACCACAATCTGCTTGTGCTCACGCTCAAAACCTATGAACTTTAGGCACGTAAACTGTAAAGGTGTGATTATACGTGCACTTGACTTGTCAAACTTATTCACTCCATACTCATATTCTATTTCTTTTTTTATTGTCTCATGGTAATTATATACAATGAGAATTTTGTACAATGAAGATATATACATGAAAATTCGATAAAGAAAATTTTTGTACAATGGAATTGTACAGTATGAATTATGTACAATGAAAATTACCGGCAGAAAAAGTTTGTGCAATGGAATTCTGTACAAAATATGAACCTGTTTTCTATATATATATATATATATATATATATATATATATATATATATATATATATATAGATCAATTAACTCAGATTTTATGTTCTCTTGTAGATAATAAATAATAATAATAATAAAGAATAATTTTTATATTAAAATATTCATAAATTGAGTTAAAATGAAGAATATATAATTCGTTAAAATTTGAAGGAATTGATCTGATGTGGACTAATTTGTATTATTCCAAAATTACCATTCCACTTTCCTATATATTATATTTTTCTCCATTTTCCTTCTCATACAATAATTAAAATAAATTTTGGTTGCAAACAAAATTCGCCCTCTTATCATATGATCTTAACTCCATGTGATCCATCAAAATAGGATACGGTTTGGATTCGGACAGAAATAACTTGTTAAAGTCTGTATGACATTTCAAATGTTAATATGACATGACATATTATCAAGATTGCGGGCTAAGATCATGTGACTAATGAGGTCCCTTAGACATGTGACTAAGTGAATCTCAGCCCTTTCACCTCATTAAAATTCAATGATCCTGATTAATCCAATTTAATGAAGGACAATATAGTAATTTGATTTTTAACTTTTATTTACCAATTAAAATAAATAAAAATCCAGCCGCCGATCCGTTTCCTTCTCTGGCGGCCTGCGTATGTTTTCCAGAGAGTTTCGACCCTTCCGGCCGGCCGATCCTTCTCTCCGGTGGCGTGGAAATAATTCTTCCGAATTCTCTTCTTCCCCGTTGCCTTCTTCTTCTTCTGAGATTTTCAGATGTTGTTGTTGCAGAACCACCATTACTCCTCAATTCTTCCATTCACCTCGCTGTAGACACTGCCATCAGAGAGCTTCTTCTTCTTTTACCTGCTGCTGTCTCGGAAAATCCACCACGGCGGCCCTCTTCTTTTATTCCATGGCCTTCTGGCCATTCTTTCTTTCCTTGGCCTTCAGGCCATTCTTCCCAGAATTATTATTTCATTCCCCAGAAGCTAAGAGAGAGAGTTTTCCGGCGACCGGAGGAAATTTCCTGGCGACAGTGTTGGATTTTGTGATGTTTGCTGACGTATTTTGTAATGTTTGTATAGATTCGGTTTGTATTGTTTGTAATTTTTAGTGACATTTTGTACGGTTAGTATGCTTTGTAATGTTTGTCGGTTTATTTTGTAATGTTTGTACGCTTTGTTATTTTGTAATGTTTGCCGGTTTTTTTTTTAATGTTTGTAAACTTTGTTATTTTTGTGCACCATGTTTATCATTTTTTTTTTTCGTTGAATCAGCCTCTTTTATTGCTCAAAAACGAAACCGATACAACGAAACAGGGTCACAAGGACCCCAAAGCCAAAACTACGATCGCCACAATCACTTCCTACCCAGCCCAAACCACAAAACTACTTACAGTAAGGAAAATGAGAACAGAAAGAAAAGCAGCTCACTAACAGTTCATATATAACCCAGCCCCTCCAATTCCACCTGCAACTCCTGACGACCAGCAACTATGAACCGCACCTCTTCTTGTAGAAGTTCAGCTAGCTTAGCAGAAGGTTTACAAGCCGAACCATGAATCACAGCACATCGTTCTTTCCACACAAAAGATAACAGAAAGCACCAAAGCATCGCGTGCCAATGCCCCAGCTTTGAATCTCTGCTAACTGTACCCACCATCCCATTCAACATGTCTTCCCAATTACTAAATTGAGACAAATTAAACCGAATAGCAGAAGCAACCTGCTGTGTGTAAGGGCAATGCACAAACAGATGCTCCCTTGTCTCAGTAGCCCCCCCACATAGTGGACAGGATGCAACAGTAATCTTCCCCCACTGCAAAAGCTTATCTCGAGTAGTAATGGAGTTTCTAGTTATAAGCCAGGTTAAGAAATTGTATCTTAATGGGCAGGGCTTACACCACACCAATCCATACCACTGCACTTCAGGCTCTCGAGTACGCAGAGTTTCCCAAACCAGTCTAACTGAATATTTCTTCATCAGCGTAGCCCCCCAGTAAATGTCATCATTGCGCTGATGTAACCAAGTCTGGACCAAGCCTCTCAACTTCAGCAATCGTCGCCACGCCCAAGAACTACTGTAAGATAGCTTCATAGTCCACAAACTTCCCTGTTTACATTTATAGGCATACATCCAAGCAACCCATAGAGTCCCTGACCTCAGCAAAAACAGCCAGAGCAATCTCACAGAACAAGCATGATTCCAACTTACCAAGTCCTTCACTCCCAATCCTCCCTCTTTTTTAGGAAGAGCAATAGACTTCCATGCTATTTTTGCCCTGCCTTCAGTAACTCCATGCCAGAGGAATTGCGAACAGACCTTCTGGATACGCTTGAAAACCAGTTTAGGCAATACAAACAGCTGCATCCAGTAATTAACAATACCAAGCAACACAGAGTTGAGCAATTGAAGCCTCCCAGCATATGTCAATTTCTTTGCCCTCCAAGATTTCATCCTCTTTGTGATTTTATCTACTAAAGTATCAATCTCTTTCGAGGATAATTTGCCAGTTATCAAAGGCAAACCCAAATATCTAACAGGGAGCTGTCCCTCCTGGAATCCAGAGAGACTCAATGCATTCTTCTTATAGGTTACAGACTCTCCACCAAAATAGATTTCACACTTTGCCGGATTACTATTCAACCCTGACATCTGATAAAACTGCTGTAATATATTTTTGACTTGCAATATTGCCTGAGCAGACCCCACTGTGAAAACTAAGATATCATCCGCAAAGCAAATATGATTCAAAGAAATCTTCCTACATAATGGATGAAAGGGAACAGCCCCTGACTGCCCTGCTTTCATTAGCAATGACGAAAGCCCTTCCATAGCAATAGTGAAAAGATAGGGTGACAATGGATCACCCTGTCGCACCCCCTTTCTAGCTCTAAAAAAACCACACAAGCTACCATTGACATTTATACTATAATGAGCAGTCTGGAGGCAGCCTTTAATCCATTTCATAAACTGGTTGGGAAACCCCATAGAGTTCATCACAAGAAACAGATATGACCAATTAACCGAGTCGAATGCCTTCATAATATCCACCTTAATGGCACATCTAGATGATAAATCCTTCCTATGATACCCACTAACCAACTCTTGCGCTAACAGGATGTTATCCATTATATTTCTCCCTTTAATAAAGGCTGATTGCGTACCACTGATGACTATAGGCAACACCTCCCTAAGTCTTTTAGCAAGTATTTTTGCTACAATCTTGTATAGTATGTTCACACAAGAAATTGGCCTAAAGTTTTTCAAAGTTTCAGCATTAGGTACCTTAGGGAGCAGTGAGACAGCAGTAGAATTCACTCCACTTGGCATAGCACCAGTATGAAAGAAACTCAGCACTCCTCTTGTTACATCAGAGCCAACAATATGCCAAGTTCTTCTATAGAATCCAGCAGAAAAGCCATCTGGGCCAGGAGCCCTTTGTGGACTCATGGCAAAGACAGCTTCCCTCACTTCTGCAGGCAATACAGGTCGATTCAAGAATGTGCAATCTGCTTCTGACAACTTATTGTGTATCAACTGATCAATCACTTCCTTCTGAGGTTTAATATCCTGATTAACAGTCCCCAACAGTCTTTTGTAATAAGATATAGCTTCCTCAATAATCTGGTCAGACTGTGTTAATTCAACCCCATCCTCTGTGACCAACTTCCTAATAGCTCTCTTAGAGTTTCTGATTTTTACTGCCTGATGAAAGAAGGCAGAACTCATATCCCCAACTGTCAACCAAGATACTCTTGATTTCTGCCAACAGAAGCTATTATAAGCTACCTGAACCTGATCCAGTTTTTGCTTACTGACCTTTACATCCTCAAAATGTTTAGAAGTAGGATCAGAAAGAGCCAGCACCTGTGCAGTCTTGAAATCTTCTGCAGCCTCCTCAACTTGCTTATGCAGCTCCCCATATATCTCCTTATTGAACTTCCTTAAAGCTTTTTTAACCTCTTTCAACTTGCCCTGTACTATCTGCATTGGGGTTCCCTCAACCTCAACTGCCCAGGCAGCCTCTACCACATCTAAAAACAAAGGGTGCTCTGCCCAAAACTCAAAATATTTGAAGGGCTTTGGGTAAGAAGTAACAGTAGCAGCAGTACATACTTGAACCCCACAATGATCAGTGAAACCAGCAGGAAACACCTCCATTGCACAGTCCTTATACGTTTCTATCCATTTAACATTGACCAGAGCCCTATCCAGCTTCTTAGCAATAGGATTATTTAGCTGCCTATTAGTCCAAGTAAACTGTGGCCCCGTCATTCGATAATCCAGCAACTCCATTTCCTCTATCCAGTCATTAAAATCGCTCATACTTTGAGTTACACTAGAAAGATTTGAAGTTTCACCCGGCCCTCTTACTGTATTGAAGTCCCCTCCCACAATCCAAGGATAACCATCAACTCTGACCCGTGCAATCTCAGCATAAGTTGCTTTGCGCTCCACTTCATCATTTGCAGCATACACTGCAGTCAAAAAGAAACTTCTCTTATCTACATCTTCCACCAGACAATGGACATAATTTTTGCCCGGCTTGAGTACCCTGAGTTTGATAGCTGGATCCCAAAACAACCACACACGCCCCAGAGC